TAGCTGGGGCGACCAAATATACGGTTGCAGGTGTATCCCTATCAACAGTCTGGTCATTCTTAGTGCTAGTTAGGATAATTAGTATCACATCCAACTTGAATTGTGTGCCCTTGAACATAGCCAGTGTCCACTACTCGTTAACCTGATACGACGCACAATCAATATCTTGAAAATACAGAACGTACTCCTAAATGGTAGAGTTGGAATCTTCTTTGCTGTGCATTAATAACCGTTGTGGACAGGTAAACTGTTATTCCAGGTTATTCCAACATAGTGAGTCTGAGTCATTCCCGAGATGGATGCGCGTACACAAACTAACACTCCAAGAGTGAATACGAGTTTTTGCCTGCAAAAAGTTTAACGAAACAATCGAAAGGCGAGATGTCCGGATGTCTTATAGATACAGGACTTCCTTTCGGCTCTAATTCGTCCCTTTCTCTGCTAGGAATATTGTGAAAACCCATTTGGTTTGCTGGAAGAACTACAAAACAACACCATACATCTTGGTGCGATAAATACCAGAAACAAAACCATTGAAGTGCTACAGATCGACGAAAGTAGGATTATGAGTTTGATATACGAAGACAAAAGTCACCCATGGGTTCGTGTAGAGTATGAAAATCTTGGTGGTACTTTTGGGGCTATGCAAGGATCTTAATTTACGGTCCAGTGAAATGCTAAAACACGAGGAACAAGTAATTTCCACGATATTGTACGTTCAGGGGCAAATTCCCTCATAGAAATCTAAGGGGGTCGGAACATCAAAACCTGGCACATTCGGAAGGAGGTAGTCTTGACAGACTTGGGTGTGTCTTATTGGTACTAGTTTAACCCAACAGAGATGCAGTCCATATCTGTTAAACCATACGGAGGGTGAGCGCCAATATTTGGATGAAACAGCATTTGCTATGCCACGGTAATGCGGCAGCAGCTAAGAGGCCTACGAATATCACAGAACTGGATTCTGTAAACAGTTGAGTCACGAAATATTTACCATGCTCCAGGCTAAAACAAAATGAGCAGTAAAAAATTGATCGAATCGTTAAAGTGAGCGTTCACTGGGACAGAAGTATTGTTTGCAGTGGGCAGACTACTATCAACCTACATTAACACGGAAGGTTAATTTGGGCAAACGAGTTTAGCATCTTGGAAGAATCACAAACACGGCATCCAGCCGATGAACTGTGGTGATGTCTCAAGGGTGCCTTTCATCAGTGCATAGAAAAACCTGACTCCAAGTGCAACACAGTGAGTAGAAAGAAACTGGCACAATACTCTATGCGACTTTTGGTGGGAAAATGTGCTATGCTGTTAACTTCAAACAAACCTGCATATACTCAATGACTGTTTGGCTATTGGAAGAGGAGGATAGGGTGACGGCATTGACTGTACCAGGTGAAGGGGATCCGGTGTTGGGGGATGTTTGCAGTACGCTTCCAACGATCTGAGGACGACGGTTTGTAGATGAGGCGGGCTGTAAAGAACAAACCAAAATATTGTTTGTGATGATCAGGTTTGTCTACTAATGGGAAGCGTGTTACCGAGGATTTGGAAATTAAAAATTCATCAAAGTCTCGTACGCCATTACACTATACTGGAAGCCCAAAGACAGCATGTCCAAAGTGAACGCATCCACCTATCTCCAGATCTTGAAAACTCCAAAGGACTTGTAAAGATTTCAGTGATTGGGGACACGACTGAAGATAAAGTAATGGTTTACTACCTTATTATTTCAAACAATTGAGAAAAATTCAGGGATAAAATTAGCTTCCAATAAGGAGTTGCTGAAAAACAGACACACAAAAGCCGGTGAAATCAGTTACTTTATCTTATGTCAGCCTACATTCCTTAATACAAGCTCACCTAACTGCAAGTTCAGCATAGGTCAATCATTTCCCAAAGAAGAATGCACTGCTGAATTCAAGCTTCTAAAATGGATATTTGGCTTTACGTTTGTACAAATGGAGCACCCCATAACTTTAGGCTGGATCATGACGAGAGTCAGGTCATGACCAACCAATTCAGGTCATGAACAACTTATTGTTTTCGAATACTTCTTCCTGAAACAGTAATTGCTCATGACGAGATTCAGGTCATGAATACTTCTTCCTGAAACAGTAATTGCTCCCCACCTTAAGATGCATGCGAGCGGTCAACATGAAAGCACCTACTGAGGGTTGAACACAAGCCGTACAGTTGAGAAGGCATGATAACGTCCAAATGATGCTATCAATAAACTGAACTACATGTTAGGACGCAACAAAGGATTGCGGTAACCTTATCACAAGCAGGCCAGATACCAGATTGATTGAAACACGGGGAGTATATCTGACTGATGAGCCGAAAACAAGGCGAAACCAGCGAAGGTTGTTGGCCACTCCCAACACACATAATCCGCAGATAACAAGTTAGACGTTTTTCGACTGCTGATACTCAATAAAAGCAGTGCAGACAGCAGTATGGCTGATTGAAGTGCCCAGCCTTATCCCTCTTCAGCTGCTCTTAAGATACAAAAAGACTGTAGCAACTGAAAAAAATTAAATGTACACGGTCTATGACCGACAATGATCAACAATACGGACTGTCTCGCAAACTGAAAGAGGAACTAAAAGTTAGGCCTCTTTCACAGCACAGAACGAGAGGGTTGTTGATCTATTCAAATCAGTCTGATAAACATTTGACAACATAAGGAGAAAAATTACACCGAACCCTCACTGATCATCCCAGTATTAACCCGGTTGTGCACCAGGGAAGCATATGAAAATGGCCAACATGAGTCCGATGTTTCGGAAGAAACTACTCAGACACGTAGCTAATTGACCAGAACGAGACCTAGTAGGTGGATGGTTTTCCCATTTAGAATGTTTACCTCTAAATTCATACGATCGAATAATTCATATACGATAGTGATAGGTCTTAAAATACTCGTAGTCTAGGTATCGTTCAGCTGTAGTACCCTTTCTGTGCTTAGCTGCCATGCCGCACGAAGAAGGCACGAAGACTGGGATAATACCACGTCGTCCAAGCCTAGACAGAGAAGTCGAGAGACAGAGGTCGGGTTCGAACCACGGACCTTCCGGTCAGTGAATTCGCGCTCTAGCCAATTGGTCCGTCTTGACCCCGTCTAGGTATACAAGCTATGAGCTGTGTATAATGCGCATAGCGGTTCTAATTGCCATTTACAACCATCAAAAACAAGGATAGTAGGGGACATATGCGTCGGTATAGCTGTTAAAACTACGGCGAGTTGCGAGATTTCCTTAGTGTGCTTAAACTACATGGAAGAGTCTACATCCGCCTATGGACCAGGGACATTAGGAAATCCAACACGAATAATTCGCTTCGGAAGTCTAAAGTGAAAAAGTAAGGAGGTGTAGGATTGTATTCGCTCAGCATGCAGAAAGAAAAAAAGCTGTTCTGCACATAACATAGCAGTACGTACGGAAGTCGGATTGTGCTGCTCCAACTGGGATTCCACAGAAAGCTGGGATGTGAGATCTGTTGAAGCTGGATTTCTCAAGTGCTTCACCTGTAAATGTAGCTGTTGATTTTCTTTGAACAGAGACTGACATCTGTTCTGTTCAAACTTAAGTGATGCATCCAGTCCCGCCGTATGGGTCTCTTGTTTTTCCAAACGCTCTTGAAGCTTGCTTACTTCAGATGATAACCTGGAAGAAAAAAATATCGAACTGTCTAAGAAGGCGTTGGGTAAATTTCAACTGACCGGCAAATGGCTATATATCAAGATGAGATGGGATACACATAGAGAACCAAAATTCGGTGTTTAAAGTGGTACCACCCACCGAAGTACCATTTAGTACTGTTCGACATGAAAAAAATGGAGCATCGGAATGTACGAATCCTTTAAAATGCCATCGGAATTAACAAACACATCGTGAGACTTTATCTTTTGTGGATCCAAGTGGCTGTGCTCGCTGGTAATATGATGACAGTCAGAAACTACGGTGGAACAACGCAAAACACACCCATTGATTGGTCGATTGAACATGGGGCGTAAAACGGCTGATGCTGACGAGCAGGGAAATACTTTCGTCTGGTGTATAGAGGCCTTATGTACTTTGAAACACTCAGCTCCTGGGTAGGGTTCAGGGTCTACATAACAAACACAACTGTACGACAACAGCGGACCATCATAAAAGAGAGGTACAGCTGCATTCAGTTTAGTTTGAGTCTCCTGTCAAAATCAAATTTATGTGAAAATAAGACTGGTTGTCGAGTACTTCGTCAAATTGTGCAACCCAGGCGACCAAAAAACTTGGTATACAAACGGTTACTTTGTAACCTTCTCGCTCTCAGTTCTGACCGAGATTAGAATCTACAAAAGTGGCATTTCGAATCGTCTCTGATCCCCTAACGATACTCCGTTTTGTTTGAAGTATGCATTTTTCCTTAAATCCACATTCCATTATTTGTCATCGGTCCGATTCGTCCATTTCCAGTTATATTCGTTTACATCCTCTGCGAAAGCTGGCGTTTTTGTAGCTTATAACGACCCCAGCTAAATGAAAACAAACACCTGAACATATCTTGAATGCCGATTGTGGATGAGCTCTCTAACTTGATGTTACCATTGCACTAAGCAATTTCAAAGAGCACAGCTCTGAACGACTTGCTTCCTCAGCGTTCACCTATCAATTTGATTGTGGGGTGCAGTGACTGTAAACAGCTACTACGAAATTGAAAACGATTTTTTTCGATAAAAGGTCACTAAAATCTTACGTCCAAACGCAGCACAGGGGTTAGCATGCCTGTGACGTGATGAGATTGGCATATAATAAGACCTATCTTTTTCTGTGATTTCAAACCCCTATACGGTTGTTGAGAACTTCTCGACAGCAACTTTATGAGTGCCGTGTAATGCGAAGAAAATATAGTGCGATATCTCGAATATCATGCCAGCTAGAACATTAGGCCACCCTTATGTGGCACATTTAGTTGGAGATTTGGTTTTGTTATTCAGTTCGTAATTCGTAAATGGCCGAATTTCGCCAGTAACCTACCTTTGTTCGGATTGCTTGTAGTGGTCAAGGGACGTTTGGACTTGGGACAACTCTTCGAGAAGCGTTGATTGTTCCATAACCAACTTGGTGTTACGTCGCTCCAGAGAACTACTCCTTAATTCAGCTTGCTTCAGTTTTTCCACACGTTCAGATTCACATTGTTTGGCGACTGCTAGTTCACGTTGAGCTTCCACTATGGGACATAAAGGATAAACGTCATCTATTCAGACACCATGCAAAGAGAATGCGGTAAAGGAGCATGAATAGTTAAATCCCTTCCCCAGTTCTCTGCCACACAAATTTAGTTGCACTATAGGCTGCTACAAATAGGCCGCTTGTAAGCAGAAAGGGGCACTTTCAGTTGGAAGGAGTATACCATAAAAGGGTATAATAAGAGGAGCAGTGGAAGAATTTCAAGTATATAAAATCGAAATCCTCCAGCTGTACCACCCTTTCGGTGCCTAGCTGCCATGCCATCTGGAGGAAGCACGAGGGCTGGTATACTGCCAGGTTGCCCAAGCCTAGACAGGGGAAGTCGAGTGGCATATGTCGGGTTCGAACCGCGGACCTTCCAGTCATCGGTGATGTGACTCAGTGACTAAGCATCCCCTAGCTAGATTGAAAAGTACTAACCATGTACCGGTTGGTGGGCACGTGGTCACAAGCATGACAACCTGAAACAGTTAACTTCAGGGTCACATGTGACCGCTCCTTCGACACCCACCTGATAAATTTCAATGAGAACGAAACTGTTAGTATGCATGGCACTCCCGATATATATATATATATATATANTATATATATATATATATATATATATATATATGAGCAAGGTAGAAAGGCATTCTTTAGTGAACGTTCTTGTTCCGAGTGCAATACTTATGCGCGGGCTACTGTTAACATTCGACACTTCTAGTATCGATGTTTCTTCAGTAGGGTCGTCAAGGGCATATTATGCACTAATGCAGTGCGACTTATGCTGCCGTACGGATCGGAAAACATCCGAGTGCAGAAAATCTGGGAAAAAATCCCAGTGTGACCATCGGTATCCCCAGAGAATTGGCTAGGTTCTCTAGAAATGACGGATAACCAATACCAAGACACATCAGATTGTTTTAGAGAAGAGTAACTCAACCGCGATGGACGAGCTACTCATTATTCATGAGTTATGCTGACCAAGACATGCATTCCGAATGTCGGAGGATCGTCTACCTGATATGGCTTTTTTGTCAAAACCCGAACTGAGTGGAAACAAACGGGGCGGACAGTCGATGATCTGGTAACGAAGTATAAAAAACTTGACCAAAAAGTACCGCCTCCATGGATGGGGACTAACCAACGCTTAATGACATGGCTCAAATACAGTCAGTGGAGCTTCAACATCAAAAAAATCGCTTTATCAAGCAACTGCAACAGTTGAACACCAATTGACTCCAGTGACTCGCCACATCTTCCATGATCTCTCATTTCTAGGTAAAAACGCTTGGAAGCACTGATGGCCGCATTAAACTCCGCTGGCTCATCGCAACGAGCTAAACAAGATGAGTGTTTCTGCCTAAGGGTATCTTCTGGAGTCGTCCAGAATGACCGGCGAACATGTGGCTGTTTATCAAAATAGCTGCATTTTGCACATTGGCTATCCAAACTTTTTCACATTTTTGTGGCCCGTGGGTTCCTTATCACATACGCTACCGTGCCATCATGTTCAGGCCAGCTTGTAGCTACACAGAAGTCTCTGCATATGTTCCCGTCCATTTTGTATCGCGATTACATAGGCAATGGCGGTTTACATTTAGAATCACCTTCTGCTCCGTGCAGGTTTCTTGTGGTTTAATTACAGTGATCAGGCATATAATGGATCAACCACCGTTGACCGGTAGATCCATTTCGCACGCCGCGGTATTCCAACTGATTGAAATGCATTCATAGAAGCGAAAATATCCACTTTACTTAACAAGGGAGCCTTTGTTCATATGGCGCCGCTGTGCCATGATCTATGGAGAGACGAGCTGCTCTACTGTTCATTCATATCAGATACCACCACATCCCAAATCCCATCGGATTTCTTTGTTTTTAAACCAACCAGAGATGTCGTTGGTCCCTGATCGGCGACCGCATATCCAGCATATCCGCTAAAAAAACTCGATCTTTGGAGTAATGTTCTGTAGCAGTCAGCTAAGTACACATTCTCGGGTGACTTCAGTTTGTGCACTTGCTTGTTCATCTCCGCTGCCACCTAAGAGCTGCTCCATAACAGTTTCAACAGACTCTCTGATGTGTACTATTGGTCGTCACGTTGTCCTGTTCACATAAGTCATGCTCATAGATGCAGCTTCGTCCAATTCGGTCTCGGTTCTTCCTACTGTGGTTGGCGCGTTGGGCATCAACAGAACATTTACTAGTTAGCTCAGCATCGCCCCATAATACACAACAAATTAATTCAGATACACCAAAAGGATGCGGCACCTTAGGTAGCAAAGTTAGTCATGAGTTTTGTACGCTACGTGCAACGCTGCTCAATAACAACACACGGACGCACCGCTATCCTACTCCGCATGAATGTTACCATACCTTAAAAAAGGAACTGTCAAGCTCAACGAAGAACTCAATCAGAGCACCTACCTTAATCTATCTGTCTTGCGAAAACCAATAAAACAGCAGCTTCAAGTTTTATTAGATGTATCACTCAAAAGACATCCACAGAACCTATTAACTTACTCTCCAAGCTTACATAATACTGAGTGTGGTCACTTTTCATGTTTTGAGCCGGCTGCTTATGAGTGCCGGTTGTTTAGAACACTACTCTATGAAGCAAGGAAAATATGCACAACTGATGGGCCAAAGTAGATGGCGAAGTTCCTGGAACGAGCCTAACCACAGACTATTCACAGCAGATTATGCGAATACACGATATGGCTAAGCCAAGGGTGGACCGCGTTTCTACTACTGAAATACAAGACAGTTCTTTCAGGATTACAAATAAAGGGCGATCATATACTCGTACACATGAGACAGAAACTAATGGTACCTTGGACTGCACTTCTCCTGACATGTAACCGATAAATACTCATTCTAATTTAACCTTCAAATGCGAACTTACTGTCATAGGCATCATCCTCCGGTTCGCTCGACAGAAGGTAACATTGTCTTTACGTTCCGAAGTACTTGAAACGAACCATGAGATAACCATCAAGCTACCGATGAGCTGCCCGGAATCCATCATCCACAACATACTCCAACAGTAGTTCATTTTATTTCCCCTAGCTAGTCACTAACAGTTCTGTTACGCAATCAAACACTCCGCGTTCGAGAATCGAACGCTACGATGCTGATTAGGTTGCGGCGACGGGCTTTGAGTGCGTACAAGGTATTGGCGTTAAAACTCGGTCCACCTTGGCAGTGACTTCGAGAAGTTCCTTCAACCTTGAATGTATGTTCTACGTAAAGTGGAAAAGTGAAGGAATCTAAACGTCTCGTCACCGTTTTGACCGAAAGAAATCTAAAAGGATGTGGAAGCAAATATTCTGGACACTTATAGTTTCGGACAACTGAAAAACGGGAGTACAGGTGTTTAAGTTAGGGAGCGAAAATACTGATTTTACGTCAGTCTAACTTTTCAAATGCCTTCAGCTAGACCAAGGTGAGTTGAATATCAGCAACCAGAACTTCTACGACTTGCACTCTAACTGCAGAAAAGAATGATACAGCTGAGGGAATTTCGATTTGTGTACGTGAAGACATACCAAGTCGCAGATTCAGATTTCGTTCCGCCTGTTCCCAGGCTACAGTCTGATTGGACAAGGAGGCTTCAACTGCTTGTAATTGGACTAAAGCTGGTTTGGCGGCCGATGTGGCCATCTCCTCGAGGTGCTCGATCCGGGAGTTCCGTTCTGCGACGAGATTCTGTAAGATAAAACGGCCAGCCAATATGATAAGAATTCTGATCTACCGAGCCATGCTAAGCCCCCACGCATGCGAAACACACGAAAGAACCCACCCATCAGAAACAGAACAAAAATATACACAAATGTGACCCGATAGACAGTGACCTATACAAGTTAAGGCCAATCGACCGGGCAATGGGTACGAGTGCTGTTATTATCATTACCAGCAAGGTTTTCGGTAATCTCCCTTCACTACGTCTGGCCAAAAATGCTACATAAGGACCAAGCCGGTAGTTCAGAGGAGCCACCAGGGCCTAGCAACGAAGATACTACCAGCAAAAGTCTACAACCAAGCGATTCGTAGATCTGGCACGATGGAGAACGTGATATTCCTGGAATTCCCGAAAAAAGTATTGAGACAACCATTATGGAAAGTACCGAAGAATTGCGCTGTTTCACCCAAATTTTTAGCATCCATTTGATTGAAAGGAAAACCTTTATGGGCATCTATAGGGTCTCATAAAGATTGGTTCAACACATGCTGATGCGAACGGGTCCTCCTGGAATTGCCAAAAATGGTGTCCGAAACAGCATTTGTTACCTCTGCAAAGCTAAGTCAAAATATGCTGCGCGGGAATGTTGAAACGATACGTCATTTGAAGCTTATAAACCGGTACAATATATTCTCTGTTTGTCATCGTTGAGATGCCATTGTTATCCAATGGTACCTGGTAATAAATGCGTTCCTCTCTCCACTGTTGTGCCTGCCTTTCATGATTGGATTTGAGGGCACTGTTCTCCGTTCGCAAGGAATCCAACTGACTCTGCAGTTGCCGGCATGATTCGCGAAGAGACTGTTCGTTTTCTGTGGCCCTGGCTTCAGATTCGGCAAGACTTTGGGTTTTCGTCAAATCATCTTGAATGGCCGAAAGTTCTCTACAAGTTAGTATAACAAAAGGGAAAGAGATACGGTAGTGCAAAGCCTAAAGGGACATGTCAACAAAATCTAACCTCTAAATGAACTGGATATTGTAAACAAGATTGCACCTGGTAACCATCTCATCAGAGTAGATTCGGACCTCCACATATTCAACACCAAAGGGCCGAATACAGACATCTACTCGGTACTCGCTGTTCTAGTGTGGTTGATTTGAACAGGGGTAATATCCACACAAACTAACTTACGCTTCGCATTCCGAGATCTACGGTATAGCTCGACAGGAGTAGCGATTCCGAGTTAAGAGGCAGACATGTACCATTGCTCAATCGTCGGTTCCCACCGTTGAATTCTCTCCGTGTTGGAGCTAATTCCTCAAGTGACCCTCTCATAACGAGCAACTGAAGCGAGTACTGCTTGAAGTCGAAATGCCACTCAACCAAAGTTACTATGACACCCTTTGATGGTATCAATAGCGGTCTTGAGTAAATAAATAAACGATTCACCCCTCAAAGGACAATTACACACAGAGAACAGCTGCTCTTCGCCACTTTCTGAACCAGATTTCGTCCAGCAATATGCTTGGGTATCCTCGCATTGCTCCAGTATGGGACGACCGTTATTTACGGCATACCGAAACACAACGGAACTTTGGTATAACAAACGTTTCATCGTCGCGCTTTTCTATCAGCAGTTACCCCTGGCAGCTGCCTGCACTGGTCGAATGAACAGTCGTTTCCCTACGGTGGATAAAACTGTGCTGAACTGTACACACCTGTGTATTTTTTCTTCGTTCGCTTTGATAGGGGAATGTTATCCAGGAGCGAGACCTGATTGATTACACGCCACTAAGCGTTTGTGCTAGCTGGTAAGCGGAACGTCTGTAACGGAAGCTTATCGAATGAAATATTCTCGTGTTTTGTCATCGTAGTTTGAATGCAGATTCAGTGCTCATCGAAGCGTATTCTACGGCAGCAGAGCATTAGTGCTCAGCATTGATGTTATGCTGTCGATGATGATGGTGATTCTGTAAAGACTAATTTATCCGGTGATTCCGGACGGTGGGATCAAATCCACTTGGTCGGCGCCGCATAAGAAGAGCCTATCCTACTCTGCCGGTTGGACGCGAACGATAACTAGCCAAACCAATTCACGTTCCACCCCAGAGAATTTCCTCTTTAACTGGCACACAACCCTTCACTCCTACTTTCAGAAGCGAAATAAACCCGAATTCACCACGCAACTTTCGTGTTGGTTGACTTTTGACAAACCAGTGTCCTCTTCTTTCATCTTTAGTGGTCTCAATATTTCAAAAACCCGTCTTATTGACTTGCAATAGTCCAGCAGCATGTCACGATTACTCGTCTTTTCTAGTGGGCCAAATTATCGATGTTCTGTTTTTAAAAGAATAGAATATTCATCTGCTAACCAACATAACCTCACAACAGAACACTACGAGAGGTTTCATACGTGTGTTGAGAGATTTCCGGTTTGATGGAACCAGAAACCAACTATCACCAGGTCACTCTCGCTGGTTCGTTTCATGGTTTGCTACGATACAAGTAAGTTATGTGGTAGATCCTATCTGTGGTATTTTAACAACACTTTGTCCGAGACTAAGTGATTCAGTTTGCAGGGATTTCCGTCCATTGCTTTTTCATCACTCTATATGCAAGTGTTTGTAAAATTACCAATGGTCTCTTGGAGGCCATTAACAACATGCTCGGAATTCGCTGAATGCTCGGTGAGTCGTGATGACTCCTCTCCACATGTTTTTCCTAATAAAGTTCACCTCATTTCTGAACGATAGATAAGACCCACGAGCTGCTGTGTTTGGTTGAAGTTCTCTCACATGTGGAAAATCTATTGGGAACTGTTCCACTGCTCTACACTGTGAGCAAGGTTATATGTAGTGGCATGAAAGTCACGTATTCATTTCAATCAGTTTCCGGAAATCGAAAGGCAGAAGTAACAATATGATCATTAGTGCAAGCATAATTGTCTTTCGTGTGTAGTCTCGGAGTGTGCTTTGCGCGGTGTGGTTTACCGAGAGGAAGTGACCCGTTTAGACAAGTATCGAATTCCATAGTGAGCTATGTTGGTTGTAGATAATTTTGGGAAAGAAGTGAGCTGTTTGAGGGATAGTAGGGCAGAAATTTCTAAACGCCTCTGCTCCGTTTAAGAGGCTTCGCGTATCAATCTAGCGGTAAGTGTCACTGGATCGAAACAAAATGGTCTCTCAAGAAGGTCCTTATTCAAGTTTCGGGGAAAACTGCGCCATAGTTCAACCAAAATCAGGATGAACCAGAGTGAGCCGTAATTCGGAAGCTCCAACACCATGGGACCAGCGGAGACATGAGAAGCACACACACACAACGTATCCTTTCAGTAATAACGTAACAACACAGTAGTATAATAGTCATGATAGATATAGCGCCTTAGATACTACATGTTTCATCTCAATAATCATAGGTGAGGGCTGCCGGGTCTCGAACAATGAGATCCTTTATTCGTGGGAAGCACACGGTAACATCATCTCCATGTGTACACAGCAAACGTGTAATTTCCCAACATCGGGTACTAGTCTCATGCTTGAACATTTTAACACTGTTGTTGATCGAAGTGTTCTTTGAGCTTTATTTTGTTATATAAGCTCCAAATTGTTTCAAACCTAACTGCCAAGCTCGGTGAACAGGGCAGTGGCGACCGGATCAACAACCAGTAAACGCCCCCGAGCTATGAATATTTCGACGCACTGTTAAAGTGGAAAATGCATGTGGCTGTGAGGGCCTAGAGGACAACGTGAATCTGCTTTTCACATCTAGATGTTATTCATCTCACGCGCGGTCCACTAACTTCACTACTCACCACGTGATGAAGTTTCACGTCATCTTCTGAGATTCAGTCCATTTTTGAGCAGGCATCCAGGACCACAAACGTCCATTTACCTCTGATTCGGTTACCCATACGTTGCGCACGTTACCCACGATGCTCAGTTCGAAAGGTTGTATATTATAAGTGTAGTAAGCAAATACCGCAGATCTGTCCAGGGGACACAGGTGGCGGAATTCATGGTATCTGACGGATATGACCAAAAACCTAGGTTATCATAGGTCGTCATGAAATATATCGTATGTCGAAGAGCCATTTGGAGTACTTCGGTTCTGCTACTGGAGACGTAGCTCTTGACGTGGAGGTGGACAGGACCTCTTCAGATGCAAACATCAGTAGAACCCCATTCATCCTATAAAATCTTCCTATAAAATATCTCTGGTAGTCCTTCGGAGGCTACACCAGTTCCTGCGGATGGATTCACTCTCAACGCACTTCCACTCATAACGCACCGATGTCACTTCGACCGGTGATGAAACGTTTGCAACCGAATTGACTAGTTGAGAGAACAGGTCAACGGGCATCGTGGATTCAGCGTGATCAGTTTCCGTATTTATTAAATTCTTGCTACCGTGGCTGTATACACAACATCCAGAATGTAAACCCTTGCACAGTCGTAATGCCAGATTGCCTTGCACACCATAGGTAGCGTTGATCGGTTTTTAATCTTGGTACGATCTCGCTCCAGTCTTTTATTTAAAGATGGGATACGTAGGATACAAATCCGCTATTACCACGTACATCTGAAGCCACCGGCCAGACCAGTGTCAGCAACCAATAACCTGCCAACAAAAAACGCAGTGTCACAAGTCCTTGTAAGATCCATCTGATCAACAATCAGCCATAAGAGATCCAGTCGGCGATCAGCGATAATCATCCGACCTGTTGTTCTCTTTCAGTAAAGAGGAATGATAGTGTGGTTTGGTGACCCCGTTTTTCTGCACGATAATATTTTGTTGTCCATCTGATGAGCTAACCGCTCCACCTGCTGTCTATAAACCAAAGTGTCCAATTTTCACGTTGTCGATGTGCGCACCACCAATCACATGTGAAGGGATTGTAGTGCGTACAGGATCACAATATTGTGATTGGGTAGCCTCCTACGCTGCTCTGTGCCATAACTTCCATCGTACGCGTTCTACCGCTTATGTCCTCTAATTCGCGTAAGTTGAAACGTCGAGATGAGCGCTGCAGTGGTTCCCATGTTTCCATCAAAACTTGTTAACAGCGGGATCAAAATATCACCCTTCTCGTGAACTTAGATTGCGCAAGGTTGGTGTCATCTTTGGAAGAAATGCACCAGTTTGTCCGTGCGTTAACGAGCGGCGATGCAACTGCACTTCGAAGGAATGTGATATAGAGTGAACCCTATAGACTTCAATTAGATTGTTGTACAATCCCAAATATTCAAAAAGCCAATAAAACAAAGATGACTTTCAGATCATTCCTGACTTTACGAAAGTGTGAATCCGTAAACCAGAAAAAACTCTGCCGGTGGTCTCGCAAGTCGTTTCTTAGGAACCGGACTTCTCGGTTGCACCTCACTAGCTGCCCCAAACACATGAAAAAAACGTTATAAAATTAGCGCAGTTCATCAGTGGAATAAACACAAACGTGACCAACCGTTTCAATTTAACCATCTCTTCGTCCTGGGCTTTCACCTTGGATTCCGAGTGCAGCAATTGTACCTGAAACACAAGCGAGCGGGTATCGACATGTTTCACAACGTGTAATTCATTTCACCTGCGACAAACTTATGTATTCAAAAGAGGATGATGGGCCTCATGTAGCTGGATGTTTGGAATCCGATTACATCTCTCCTACAAGTGACACATGAAATCCAAGATAGAGTGTGAGTTGGTGTGAACTGGATGTAGCGAAACCGGACTGGCGTTCACAGAAGGTGGAAACTGTACCGGAATAGCAGCTGAAAAAGAGGATTCAAACCATGGTCATACCTACTCCAGCTACTCAAGATTTAAAGCTGGTAAGGTGAAAAGAATAGGTGAAGAATGAAAGCGGCAGCACCTAACCTACTTCTTATCGACGCTTGGTGTTTCGATCATCCTTAGACCAAACTCAGGCAAACTGGCGATACTTAGGCCCACGTACTTTCTACGCGTTGTACAACAGCCGAAAGAATCTGGACAGAATTGATTGCTGATTCGAGAACGATTCAACGAAACTGACACTAGTTGGAAAAGGATATATCACACAGAAACCAGCAGTACCGGTCGCCTGGCAGTAAGACAAATAGCGGATTATGAACCACGCTAAAAAAAAACAGATGGAATGAATCAAACATGCTAACTAAGTGAAAACCAAAAACATGTATCATCTGGTGTACTTTCTTCGCTGCCTTCCAGGAGCAACAAGTCTTACCTTTAGGTGTTCCCACTCACTTTCCTGAGTTTGCGTTAGTTTGTGCAGATGGTTGAGCTGAGCTTTAGAACGAAGAAGTGAAATAATACCATGTCAAGGTTAAAACTGAGACCAATGACAATATGTGAAGAGAGATTTATGAGTTTGGAAGCACAAACTAGCGCCAAAAGCTATTCGTCACGCCCAAGCTCTGTAATAGACATTTGTGTTACTGGATATATGCATCTGAAGAATAATCCAGAAAAGAGACGAATCGACATAGTTCCAAAGTTGACAACTTATCACTTATTACATGCCGACTTGAAAAAAGCTCACTACCGATCACTTTACCGACGTCTGTGTTACCGCCGTGCACGTCAACTGGAACCATGATTTCCAGAGCCCGAATATGGTAGTGGACTGATGTGTGTATGTTACCACCCACTGGGAAGAGAACCGAGTTTGATGGACACTACCGCTGATAGTTGTCAAAAATGCAACTTGTGCAGTTTGTGGAGTCGATGTAAACCCCCACGATTCAGCCATGATGGACTACGTATGAGAGGCACTATATCGGGTTGAAAATCAGTGTTTAATGCTTTACTATAATGATGAAAACAAAAGATAGTTGACTGGATGTGTATTGCTGATCATTCCTGATGAGGGCGAATCGGTTAGTTATTTGAGTACGAAAAACATTCGAACTGGTCTCACTAATTACACACAGGTTCGGCTGTTCAGGCAAGGTAGTTTTTAAGACAAACAGCGGGAGATTCCAAATGAAAAAATGCGCATTATACAATCTGCTGTGAGTGTAATCCCATATGAGCTGGACGGTTGCCCCGGAATGTTGTGCAAATGGAGTTTGGCAATAAGTAAACGGTCATGTTAGAACAATGAGCATTCGTTCCATGCTTGAGTTTAACCTGCTACTTTGTACGGGTGCAGTGCGGATCGACTTGCTGCGGTGTGAATGAAATGGGAAAATCGGACTGGCCGGCCATTGACAAGTGGGATGAGGACATACCGAAAGGAAAAACTCATATCTTTGGTGGTATTAGATGAACAAGTTGATAGCGACAACTACTGAGCTGGAAAGAGCATAAGTATTGTTCGATGGCGGATATTCAGTCACAGCACGTATGGTTGATCGGCTGAGTTCAACAGAAGAGTCGGCCAGGCATATAGATCTGGTTTGTCCGTACTACCGTTCAGAGGGTTGAGACTATTGGTGTCTCAACTTTGCTTCAACTAATGGTTCTCAAGCAAAGAGAAACTCTTCCTCCACGGGTGAGTTTCAGTGGGTCGAGTGGGAAACGTAGGCCATAGATTCAGGAAAATACGACTGAAAGCTGTTGCGTGTTGCCTCTAATTGTCACGTGATACCCGTTCTTTCTGTAATTAAGGTTGCTCTTGTCATATACTAGTTCTAATGACCATGTGATCAAAACTTTTCAGTTGTTATGCTTTGGTTTTTTTCCATACTTTTTCGCCATTGGGTTTTTCTTGCTTATCTGGGTTTGGAGTAAACTTCTAGAGAGAAAAAGAGGTGTTTTCAACACAACAACTTGCGAGTGAACAATGGTCGTATTTGTCCTGCCCGCTGTGGGTTTACTCCGTGAATATGTATGTGGTCTGAGTGCGTGTTCCACTGAATAAAGCCTTCTAGGCGTTTTAACAATCCGCATCGATCGCCCCATCACCGCTCTACTCAGGACCGTCCAGCTCTCATCACAAAAGATCGACAAAAGACAAGAAAGTCGAGTCAACCGAGCAGTCTACCGCATGAAAAAGTCACATGAGGTGATGTGATCATGTGTGGTACTAAATTAGGTGATGATGTATAACCTTACTACATACTGATTGTCCGGTTAAGGTTGATGCTTTCATACTGTGTCTGCTCAAGGTTGAGATAGCTCAACGATCCGGGAGCGAGCTCACTGACCGCAAGGTCCGTGGTTCGGACCCAACTTCAGCATCTCGACTGCTGCAAACCGGCAGTATCCTGGCCCTCGTGCCTCATTCCGTTGGCATGGAAGCTAGGCACCGATAGGGTGTTACTGCTGAACGATTTTTTCACTGTGTCTGCTCGCGCATCCAGAAGGTTTGTACGTCAGAAGGGGCTCCGCACAACCTTACAATTGGTAGTGCTACTCTTGGTGTTAGGAATGATCTCGTCAAGCTAGCCATTAGGATTTCATTTAACTGACAAGTAGTTGAAAATGATTAAAGCTGCTATGCCGTTGTGGCACATCCTCTCTCGGAGTCAAATTTGATCCGGAAGGGTTCGTTCTTATTTTAGAATACGGCATCCTCTGCTGGAATCGGGAATAATAATAATAATCATTCAGCTGTATCACCCTTCCGTTGCCTAGCTGCCATGCTACCCGAAAGTTGCACGAAGGCTGGGATACTGCCAGGTTGCCCAAGCCTAGGCAGGGGAAGTCGAGAAGCTGAGGTCGGGTTCGAACCACGGAACTTCCGGCCAGCAAATTTACGCTCCAACCACTTGGGCCATCTCGGGAATAGATTACAATCTATACGAATCTAGCCTGCGGCCGCCCGTCGTGAGTAGCAACAGTAAGGGACATCTGTGAAGCTGACTCATCCTTCCATAGGATAGAAATGCCGTAAAGTGAAAGTGTACACCTAAATTAATCATTTCAATCCAATCATTATATATCTATATATCTGTAGGCCGAGCAGCCGAAACTCCGAGGAGGGGATGACCTTTCGCGACCAACCGAAAGCGGTGCATTGCACGAAACTGACTGAGAACGATTGTCTTAAACTCCACCTGGTCGAAATCCTCTTTTAAATCGTTTGTCATGTCACAGTTCTTTGTTTACCGAAAATGAAGAATTGGAAATGGTGGTACAATTAAAAGGCGATGGTTTGCCTCAATTCAGCGATAGTATTAGGCTCTAACGTTCATTATCTGGGTAGGAGGAGGTAGGAGGTAACGGAAACTGTCTCGGCGGTCCAGAAAAAACTGCACGATACTCACCCTTCCTGAACATGACGTGGCGGTCCGGTTTGCGTGCTGTAATAATCCTGCGGACTATACCGACTGGAACCTGGTTTCACAAGGCGCAACAATGCAAGAAGGACAAAGAGCAGCAAGCGGACTAACACCAGCCAGACAGTAACCGTATTAAGAGGCGATCTGGGGGCTAACGTTTTACTGTCCTCTGCGATGGGAATGTGAAGTCATTATGCTTTTCTCAGGCGATAAGAATGTTCATTATCATGGGAACGGCGGTGCTAATTTTTTTCTGGCGTAAAGGTCACGCCAACGGTTGACCGTGGACGACGGCAAATTATCTAGTAAGGTGAAAAAATAAATGAACTTCGTCACGAGCCCGATTAGGCGCCAAACGCATCTGAGGAGGACGTAACTCGTCCACGATGGATGAGCTGGTCACGGTCAACATGCTGAGCTCGCTTAGTCACGTGCTCCGGTATGTCAGTTAACTGGATTTCCCGGAAAGTCCTTTTCGCACAACCACATGGAGGGAGGAAACGGGTCACGAAAGGTCAAGCAGACTTGACAGTGATGTATAGAAGTCATCACCGGCAAGCTCAGCTACGCTGATCAGCCCATCCCCCTGGATGAGACGCATCAGTAGCTACAGACGTTAACAAATATAACCCGGTCGCATGCACTAAGTGGTGCGCATGCATCCGTGCCGTCGGCTTCATGTATGGATCCGCTTCCGACCACCGCAATGGAAGGTACACTATCACTCCTGGATTCACACGTCAATTGTATCCGCCACTGCTTTCAGTGCATAGCTATCCAACCCTATCTTCCCGGATCGTCGACGAGCGAAACTGGGGCCCTATAACCACTGACCATCGTACCAGGTTTTCAGCTGCTGATAAACATAAGTAGCATGATGTTGATGAAGCACAGTAGTCTGACCTGGGAATGCCACTTTCGTCTAACTCAGGGCCGTAATCTGAACGTTTTTATCGTCTAGTGTGATGGGGTCATGATAGGCATGACCTGGAGCAAAGTATCCGGCCAGGTATCGTCCTAAATCCTTATATGATTGTGCGATTTGTCTGCCTGTGCATGACGTTTGGAATAGTGTGCACAAAACACAGAATGATTGATGGGACATCGTTGAAGATACTTCAAAAGCAATGTAGCCACCGGAGGACTTATGCCTACCTTTTGGAAAACTTGGAAACATAATTTACCTACCTGCTTGATCTTTAATAGTCCCATCTTTGGTTTCACACTCATCCTGGAGATGTTGAATCTTCATGTTCAGTCGTTCAATTTTCGCTCTGGAAATTTTGAAAACAGATTGGGATAATGTAGTGCTCAGTCTCACCAAAACATGCGAACAAATTTCACTGCTTATTGCTGGTGACGTTCATTCATTATGTGAGATTCATCCATGAGAACGTAATCGTCATCAGAAAACACTGATTGACAAAGATATACGTTTCCGAGATATATTCACTAGGCTATGGCGCATCAGGCTAAGCCATGCAATACATAACGGAACGGCATATCGTACAATCGAATGGAGTTATGTCGGTAAAACTTTTTAACCAAAACAAAATGCAAAATCTTCAACGACTGGCTTCCAGGGTGAATCACGGGACTCATATTGACGAATTAACACTAGCAGTTGATTTTACGTAATCAGATCCTAATGCTGTATTTGTACGATATTCCCTCATTTTGTCTAGTTGCTCGCTCAATATATGCTACCGCACAACAACACATACGCTACCATGTTAAATTTCCCTATGAATGGTAGACATCTGCGGTGGAGTGACAAGCGAGAGCCTAACTTTGCCATTGAAAACACCTGAACGAATATTTGGTGTTAGCAGTGAGACCAACTGTGAGATCTCATCTGATCCTTCTTTCTACTGTAATTAGCTTGCTTCGCTGAAGGTCCGCTTCCATGAATCATCTAAATAAACCGATCAGAGTGCTAATGTTCGGGGAGGGGATTTTAGAATGCAAGACCTGAGTTATGCTTCTAGTCTTTCTTCAGCATAGGCTGACTGCAACTGGCAGAATGAAATCCACGACTGAAACGAAAAGGAAACATTTAGTTTCACCGGAGTGAGAGTCAAGATTTGCATTGTGAGATCCATGCACATTCTAAACAAGCTACTGTTCCGCGAATTGGGGACTGCATACACACCTGGTGGTGGATTCGCAGTTATCAAACCTTCTGAGACAGGCAGCGTAACACCAGCTATTATTCATTTTTGACCTTGGTAGAGAATAAGTCATTACAAGATTACCGATCGATATCAGGAGTACCTTGCGACGATTTAATAAGAGTCTGTTTAATACAGAGAGGAAAGTTTCTTGAGATTCGGATTCGGGTCGATCCGATCGACTTCTACATACGGCGACTTCATTTCCGATCAATTTGTGACTGGACCGACTTACAAGTAAAATAAATTCTGGATACCTACTCATAAGTGAGGGGAATGGACCGTACTAGGAAGCACGAATAGCAGCATGAATTAGGTCTGATAGTTCATTTCGGAGCTACTGGTATGGTGACAACGAGGCTAATCCGCAAGAGGCACTTAAATCGTCTTAATGAAACCAGACGGGAGGCAAAAGTATGTTGTTGAAGAGCATCAGGTACCGACTTCCCGGCACAATTAAAACGGTTCGGTTTTCAAGGAAATCATTCAAAAATTCAGATACATTTCGTCTACAGTAGACGGGAAGCTGTCATTGAGGTGGCGGTTGATCTATTCACCGAGGTTGGCGAACGGCCTAGACATGATTCGCCACCACACAAAGAAATGTCAGGTGGGTGTTCCACCATTTCGGTCTGTGATGTCTAAAGGTCACCAAATACATCTAAAGTGATAGTTTGTTTGAAGCTTGGCTGATTAGTCCACTTGGGATTTTTGTTACGTTTTGGCATAAGTGACCTTGCATTCGAGTGGTTCGTGGAATACTTTCATTGGGGTAGTGAACTCCCTTTATTCCGAATAGTCCTATCCTCTTTCGGTGTTCAACGGACCGCTCAACACAAAAAAAAAATAACGAACGCATAACAATCCCGGCGGATGAGTTAAATTGTGCGAAACCCACCCCTAATAAAGCAAACACTTTTACAAACCAGGTAAACGCAAACTGAAGTGGAGAAACAATACACTTGGCTGCGCACTGACGACCTTCCCTCGATTGGTAGCGTGTGTAAGCCAGGTGCTAAGTTCGGTGAACGCATAACATCCCGGCGGATGAGTTAAATTGTGCGAAACCCACCCCTAATAAAGCAAACACTTTTACAAACCAGGTAAACGCAAACTGAAGTGGAGAAATAATACACTTGGCTGCGCACTGACGACCTTCCCTCGATTGGTAGCGTGTGTAAGCCAGGTGCTAAGTTCGGTGAATAGATCAATTGACATCTGAAAGCGGTCAATAAAAGCACTTGAGCTACCCATATATAGACAAACGAGAAGCAGCACTGACATGTAGTATACATCATACGTGCAGGTAGAACATGCCACTGGGTCGTCAAATTTCCTTTAAGGTTTTCTTTAAGGTTTTCCTTTAGGAGTCATAATTACGAATAAAGACCACGCTTGACAGTGCGAACGAAGCAGATGACATGGAGATTAGAATGATAAGAAGCCTTGAGAAATATCACTATTGGGATCGTAGCCATGCCCATGAATCCCACCTAGCCCGATTAGATTTACTTAAATCTCCCATTTCCACAGGCAGATGAAGCAGTTGGGGATTTACAGTGCTTACTAGAATAACATTTGATGCTGGGTGTTCGCCTATGCAGAAAGTATGCTTCAAGAACCTGAGGATCTAGGCTGCGTTGATAATGATCAATTGAAAGCCTTCTGGAAACCTTTTATTTTATAGGACGATAGGTGAGAAACCTTGATGTACTAAGGGAAATGTCTACACATATTCGCGTGAATTTTCACCACTGCAGAAAAATGAACAGTTGGCTCCGCTATGCGATAAGTTTACGGTCAGTCAGACAAGATTCGACTGAATACACCGGTTCATGAGGTTTAGATCACGGTAGAAACAATGTACTTCAGATGCGTAAGCGCACTGTGACCTCTATGCCCGTACGACCATCGAACCTACCTGGTGTAGATAAACCACTTTCCCATAAACAAGGCATGAATATATGAGCTACTTGCGACAGAAACGTTAGAAATGGATAACGTTTAGTGGCACTAGGGAAAGTTTCAAGTCACGACCGGGTTATAACCTGACAGAAGAGTGTAAAAACGAAATTAGAATCTTCTACAATCCGCCAGTTAATCGCCACTGCGCTTTGCTCACGAAACACCAATATACCATTTGAATCGGATTTTGGATTAGAATTCACTAACCATAAATATCGAAGCGGCTGTAGATTTACGTGCGGAATACACTGGTTGGTGCACTAGTTAGATTTTAACGGGAGACTCAACTGAATCCCACGATACTCTTCAACTGAATGTGCCGCTTTCGTACGTTCTCTGGTGAGTCTCCAAAATTAGAGAAACACTGGATGATAGCTGGCAGAACGAAAGCGTAAAACTAATATTAAATAAAAATTGCTCAGCAATGGGTAGACCATTTCAGGTATTGAATGACGCTTAAAGGATCAAATGAAAGTAAAATCTCCTGATGGAGAGAGAACTGCACCACAGGCACTTAGACGTACGATTGGGTCCGTTCAGACTCTTTGGTTTCCTTTAAAGAAGCCCGGAGTTTCTTAACCAGATTGTTAGTCGCTAATTGTTCCTGAGCCATTCGTTCTCCTTCCTTCAGCAAGTCCTCCAGTTGCGTGGTTTTCCCCAACAACGAGCGCTCCAGTTCAGCGATTCGCTTCAACAACCTGTGTGGATACGGGACACAATTGAGCGACCAAACGGAATAAAAAACAAGGCTCAATGAAAAGTTTAGTAGCAATATCAATAACAATAATAATAATCGTCCAAATGAAACACCCAATGAGGAGTTTACTTGAATCACGCGACTAAGACACTTATTAAAGGGCTATGGTGGCACCCGAGCTAAATGCGGAAAGTAAAAAGTGAAGACGCCACGCAACATTCCATCCACCCACATATGGAACAACATTTCCGTAACATCAAATGCTCTGCTAAAGGCAAAAAATAAAACAGACACAACGTACGCTTCCTCGTTAGATGTCAACGACGATTGGCTGGTTTGCTTTGCGGACATTAAGCGCGACTGAGCAGCTGCAAGACTGGTTTTCAACTGGTCCCTTTCTCGTGTCAACATGCGAAGCTGCATTTCGGTTTTTGCTAGTCGTTGCGAGAATTCTGTGCTTAAAGCGGAAAGATCTTGTGACAACTGTCCATTTTTCAGCTGCCTGTCGGAGGTGAATTGGAAAATCGGAGGTATATGAGGTACAAAATCGTGTAATCACAGATGGAGACTGAACTGTGGACAACGGCACTAAAGCACACTATGAACGCAAACCAACAGGCAAAGATAGGTTTTTGTGTTAGCTACAACCATAAAATCGACCAGTCCATGCTACATCAGGTACTGGTCATGGGACATGCAATCATAGCTGCAAGCCATCTTCGCTGATTTCCTTCGTTGATCTAACACCACACCTCTAACGGTATGTGCTTCTACATACTCGGTCGCAGCTGCTCAAGTAATACGTGCCTCACTGTTGATTTAGTTACCTCAACATATGCTACTTATATCCAGGGCCCAATGGGCAACCTTAGTAGAAAGTTGGTCAGAGTTCACATATGCAACTGTACTAGTCTCGGGGACCTACTGTTTTTGACGACCGAGCAAAGTTAGCGAGAGCAAGTGGCAAAAACAGTAGTAGGACCAAGTCCATGGAAAAGATACGCAATTTTTGCTACCTGGTTGGGATGGGCCTACTGTATGACAATATCGCCTGGTGAGAGGTACGTTCAGTGGTAACTTGTTATACAGTAAAACTTCTTTGCTTGTATTTATGAATATTCGCTTGATTTTGACTCGAGAAGTTTTACACATCTGTTTGAAAGTGCGACTGAACGCATGTCAATAACGAAACTTACGACAGAAGAAGCGCGTTCGCATCACGAAGTTCACTATTTTCTTTGCTCAGTTGTAGGATCTTGGATTCACGGATGCTCAGCAAGTGCTTTTTCTCTTCATATCTCTATACGGGTATCGAATAAGGAATAGTAGGACCCAATAACGTTGATCGACCGGAAATATGAAGACTGTACACATAATAAAAGCATGAGGCAAAATAGCTACGTTGGGTGGAGGAAAGGTTGAACGTGGGAGGGCGTTAGCTTATGAATGTCAGTAGAATCTTATTTGCAAACAAAGCGCTTCGCTGGGAAGATAAGCAGGGTAAAGTTGCATCACAAAGGAGGTATTCGGAGTCCTCAAGATAAATTGACGAATGACCAAGACTTCTATAATCAACTGCAAAAGTCTATGTTCCTCGGGAATAGGAGAACACCAAAGCAAACTTCTGGCGGTGGACCATGCGAGCAACGCGTAACCGCTGCTTACTTCTGTTGGCCATAGATTGTGCTCGTCAAGTTAGCGTTGCATGCCTCGTTTACCAGGCTACCCGCTCCAAGGGCGTGAGGAAACTGAAGCGATTGCAATCGACAAAAACGGTTTGAAAACTTGTGCTGTAGTTGATTTGAATCGGTATAGGCACATGTATCGCGTTTCTTTGTGAATGTGCATAAGTCAGGTAGATTCCTTATGGATGCACGCTCCGCCCAAGACGTCATCAACAAACACATTGAAATTGACCCGGTCTCTCAACTACTGAGGATAAAAGAATCATAGACCTACAAGCCACAGAACCACACAAAGAACCCGAGACAGAATCATTATATAAAGATGGGAAGCTCGAATTTGACGGATGAGGCAATCCGACTGGAAATACGCCTCGAACCGAAAATCAAAGGACCGAAATGAACACAGGAGGCGCTTGATTAAATTATCAAATGCTAGGATCATTCGTTATAAAGATGAGGAAGCGCAAACAAGCAAGCAAACTAAAAAAAAAAGTCAAACCACAGTGTAATGCAAAGTGAGAACGAGAAAAATAGGTAAACAAAAAAAAACCGAAACAGGTGTCGGAATAACCAATTAAATTGAAGGGAGATAAAACAAGGAGTAGCACGGACTGTGCCAAATCTACTGGAAGAAATTGCTCAACGAACAAACCAGATGCAACGAGCGTGGACAACAACACAGCACAGATCACAAACGGACCGGTGACATCAAGATAACGCATTTCCTCAATCAGCCAAGAAAGAAATGTCAAATATGCAATTTGGTAAGGAGAAAGAATCCATCCAACTCAATGACTATATATATGGTGCTGGATATACAAGAACCGCCTATCAAGTTGGAACATTTTAATTTCCCACATAACATTCGGAGCAACTGTTCACTGAATTTGCGTAGAAATTCAACATAGAAAACGACAACAGAGTTAGGAACTCGTATGAAAGCATGGGGTGTACATAGTTAAGCTATATGTGGGCAGGTAATCAAACCAGAAGTCACTGCATTAGAGTGAACGCATCGATCAGAACACTGCATACGAAAGCCCTATCGGGTCAACTGAGCTGTGTCCCGGTTATTCCTAACAAGGGTGGAAGAGTTGTACGTTACGCTTTGCGCTTCAGTATGGGTTACGTGATGGAATCCTCAGTGAAGCTGATAAACCTGGACAACGCTTCTGAGAGAACACATATCATACCTCCGGTCTGATCCAAAACCGCAGTTTGAGAAGCCTTTTGAGGGGAAGCTAACAGGACTTAAATCGTACAAGCCAAAATCAATGAACGTTTGATTGCGATCACACCAGTGCTGAATGCCCTCGGATGCTGTGATTAACTCGGAAAGAAAATCAATATGGTAATTTCTGAGAAACAGGACACCAGTCATGTGGACCCAGCATTCCATGGAAAACATGGAAATGACGGCAAATTAGAACAGTATCAACGTCCCAACATGCCATAGTGTGAATTAGAGCTAATCTTCGCTTCAAAGACAGTCGCTTAGGAGAGGGCATACGTCACAATATACACATTCTCCTGCCAACACTTTTCAGTGTTGTTCATAATGTGCAATACCAGCACGACGTCCAACAGTAATGTGTTCCGAGCGGCAATGATAAAACCTAAAGAGTCTTTTATTTTGAGTGAATACCTTTACGCAAGGAAGACGCACGAAGCTAAATGGATTCTGCTTAATCATTTGACAAAAGTAGGGTGGCTTTAGGGCTTCGATGGTAATAAAAATATAAAAAGTTACAGATAACTAGGTAACTACAGAAAAAACAGCCCCATCTGCTTTTTTGACGAGAAACACGGAGTACCATCAGTCTGAGTAAGTTATCAATGAAGTGAGTTTGAATCACCTAAGAAGCTCGTTGTATTATTCTGTTTTTCTGAATACAAACTCCGAGAAATCACAGTTCCATCATCATGGACAGCATAACACAAGCATTCAACACCGGTGCCTCAATGCCGTACAGCCATAATCTATTTGAAAGTCTTCTGGTGGAAATGGATTTAGTGCTAGCCTACCACAATCATTCCGAGGTGCCCACATCTCCAGACACTCATTCAGACAATCTAGACGGAAAGTGACGACAGGAACGCCACTGAGATAAATTAACAGACATACATTACATCGCCTCCAGTAGGAATCACGCGGTCCCTATCCTGGAAGGCGAATCATACAGACAACACCCAGACTTTTCGTGATCTCTTCCGTACCCCCTGTAAGATTGAAGGTTGAATATTGAAAAACGAGTGGCACCAAGAAACTCATTATGACTGCAGTCAAGCTGATCCTATCCTGGAGGCGAATCATACAGACAACACCCAGACTTTTCGTGATCTCTTCCGTACCCCCTGTAAGATTGAAGGTTGAATATTGAAAAACGAGTGGCACCAAGAAACTCATTATGACTGCAGTCAAGCTGATTTCCTTTTTTCGAAAACGGGCAGTATCACCAATTCCCCCCAGTTGTATTGATCAGTCTCCTTTTCTCAGACGCAGGCAAATAGACCAAACAAGCGCTGAGTGAAGATTTCATCCCTGTCCTTGAACAATGCAGATGAGAGGTCATCTGGACAGGAGCCCGGTGTGGCTTGAGAGAACATATGAAGTCATAAAACTCCGAGACCCTAGGAGGATCCATGTTCACCGTTCATGATTTTAGTGCAGTTCGAGGATCCAACCCAACGGCAGCAGTTGGCCACGAGCATTGTAGTTCAAAGTGCTCGACTCAGCGGTCGAAGTGTCCTTCTTTAGTGAAGATAGTTGTGCCATTGCGCTTTCGGCTAACAGGTAATTATGGGGGAAAGTTGCACTGATCAACGGAAATAGTCTTCGAGCATTCCCGGCTCTCTGGGCCTCCCCCATTTCTTTGGCCTTACGTGTCCATCAAGCTTCACGGTAGACTCGCATGCTTACTCTTACTTGATAGCTGAGGTTTGAATTTTGTTCGGGACCGACGGGAACACCTCTCCGATGTTCAGGCACTGTGAGTGTTTTGTCTAACATCCACTGATTGATCGGTAGCGCCGTGCCACAGACAGAACTCCAGGCATTGTGCAAAGACGAGTTCACATCCGACGGTGGAGCAGTTCGAAGTCTAGAAGACGATTATGATAAATTTGTTCAACCTCGGGACCTTAGTTTCCAAGAGACTTGTCCATATCTTACGCAGCCTTGGAAAACAAAGAGAGAAGCGATTACAGACGAACGCGTGGTCGGAATCCACAAATGTCTTCCAAAACAAGCAGTAGTCAGTCAGTGAACCGCAGTATCCGTAACTGACGGTGATGTGACCAACTTGTGTCAGTGGTTGGCTAGCAGTCGGCGGACATCATGTGGCCAGACAGCTCCGGTTATTTGGGACGTGAGTACTATACAAATAGTATGCGATCAGGGCATAACTGAAGCATTCGTTTGCGGTTGTCCGTATGTTTCGAGTCCAACCCATGTCGACCACCTAGTCTAGTCTCAGATGCGCTAAGCCTGCCCACTTGTGAATTCATATATCCGGCAACCACGACGATATGAGCTTTTAGCCCACCGAGCAAAAGCAGCCTGTTGTTTGCTTCAGAGTGCGAGCATTCAGAGAACGCAGAGAGACCTTGTATCGGCGCTTGAAGATGCAATCCGAGATGCTTCAGGCTGTCTTCGCCGGTTGACGCATAGATGCTGCGACAAAAACCGATGCAAGACGGATGGGATAGTCAGCTTTGACGGAAAAGCAGAGGAGCACTAATGCGGTGGGGGAAGAAGAGGAGAGCGAAGTCAGCAGTAGGCTGTTTTCGCTTACCCGCCCTGTTGTATGCAGCCAGTAGTGACCCAGCTGACGGCACCACGCGACGGCCGACGTGGTGGGAAAATTGGTAGTCGTAGGTATCATGGTTGTGCGTGGGTTGGGATACCCCCAGGGCACCCACACTTAGACGGAAAGACGATCAGGGTCGTCCACGAAATTCTTCGGCTTTAAAGCCTGACCACCACATAGTGGTGTTTTCCGGAAAACGCAAGTGCATTACCATTTTTAAAGAACAAGTCGCCATCCATGACCCAACCCCTAACCTGAAAGGTAAGATGACTGTTGGTCGGACCTCTAACCACTCGCCAATCTGGTATGAGACTCTGTGAGTGTCACACGGACACTCCTTAGTATGGCTCAATGGGTAACGGAGGCGCACAAGCAATCATGCCACCGTAAGGTCTATTCTCTTCATGACGGATCCCAGCTCAAAGGATTGTCTAATGCTCTCAGTGGACCATATAACTTTTTATGCTGTGGAATTTCTCACCTCTCTGACCCTATCCCAGAGGTTGGATGAATCCATAACGGGTGAAGAACATGCGTTGAGACCCAGATAATGCTTCAAAGACCCGAAGATTAACCTGGTCAATGGCCTGGTAATGAATGGGGTAAAGATATGGGTGGTTTGTGGTAATTCCCATGCAAAGCTGGCGCGAAGTCTGCTACACAAAAGCAGGTACCAATCGACCAGTGACAACCACTGTGTAGCCTCAGGTGCGATCATCATGGCTCATTGGAGAAAAAACTGCTTAAAGAATGTTGTACGCCAAAAAGTTGAAGGACATTCTGTTCAGTTATTAATTGTTAATTTATTATTAATTATTATTATCAGTTAATTAATTATTACTATTATTAATTATTAATTATTAATTTTTAGCAGGGCATTCAGCCCTTTCAATCACTACTGTAATAGAACGTCCTACCTACCATTATGAGGCAAAAACCAAACTGGTGATTTGGAGCATCTATTATTGGAAGCTACCACTATGAATGTTGTCATTCTTTCGTTATGGCTGTGGTAACTGATGTTAAACTGACAACGAACTTGAGGACGACCAAAGGATACTTTCCTATCGAAGAGCACGGAGGTGGCCTAGCCATGAAAGTTGGCCTTTTCTGCGACTGTTGTCTGAGTTCACTGAGTTTACATGATTTAACGAAATCAGGTAAGGGCACATGATCACAGTCTACGGTTGAGACGTACGCTAGACCAAAGTCACTAACCTTGGAAAGGCGTTGAAATGCGAACGATATGTCGTCCTCGTTCGGAGTCCCATGAGCTGTGAAGCGAAAGATCCACATAAGTTGAATGATCAACCGAAAGAAATAAGAAATGGCAATTTCTATAACTTCCGCGTAGAACCTCCACTAACAAGCATCAATTAGCTTATACAAAACTGCTAACTGGTAGCTACACGTTCCGTGGTCTTCAGCACTGCGATACAGTAACTTTAGTAGTAGTAGTACTGGCCAGCTGTTTACAGTGATTTCAACATGCCCATCGCAGATCTAGACAATTTTTCCCAAGCATACTGACATGCAATTTCTCAAAAACAGAGTTAGTAAGGGGAAGCAACCAACGTCTTCAAGACCCTTTGCTTCAGTAGAGTAGGGTAATTCAAATAGAAAGCACTGCTCTCAGTCTTTATGATTTGAACGGTGACCAACAGGACTGAAAGATCAAGAGAATGGTATTCGTGAAATGTGTAGATTTATCGGTACGATAAGGTAAAAGACGGTTAAATTCAGATAGGCGTGCATTACAAACAAGAAGATATCATCAGAAATGGAATAGCGATACCTTCCGGAAGTTTTAGTCCGCGCCATGCACCAGCAACGGGAAAAGGTATCCGAAATTTTTTGTCGGAGAGGAAGGGGACTTTATAAACAGGAACGTTAATCATACAGAGACTGATGGAAGGTTTGATTCGTTCAGCCGTAGCACCATTTCGATGCCTACCTGCCATACCACCCCAAGGAAGCACCAGGGCTCGGATGCTGCCAGGTTGCCCAAGCCTAGACAGGGGGAGTCGAGGCAGAGTTCGAAATACGAACCTTTTGGTCAGGAAATTCGCACTCTAACCACTAAGCCATCTTGTCTCCGGAAGGTTCGATTACATTGGTAGTGGTAGCCTCGACGCTGAATTTGGCGGAAATTTCATTCATTGAATCAACAACAGCCTCTCATAAAAACGGAAGTTTGCAGTGTGAAGTTTTTAGGTACAGTTATAAAGCTGGCTGGCAAGGCTAGTAAAAGGGCCTCCTAACACTGATGATTTGGAGCGAAGCCCGACAACCTCAATTCCATGGCTAAAAAGAGTATAGGGACAGTTAGATGATTCATTCCCTTTGTGTATTAAGGAAATGCTGAGAACTCTGAAAATAGACAGCGCAGCTTCGGATTGAGTAAAAAGAGGAAAAATTAATTAGTGCTGCCAAGTCAGGCTTAGGATTGGTGTGGCAGCTACAAGTTCTACACTGTACATGTCAACGGTGTTACTAGAAAATATGTGTCGAATGTCTCTTGAAAAACCCCTACTAGTTCAAGCGAGACATTTACACGAAATAAAGTTATCTGTTAGATCCGAAAGCTTGTGGAGTGTCAAAATGATCTTTTTCCAAATTCACCTCAAGGTCGACATTTCCTAAGGCCCAATCTGTATAGATAAATGTAAGCAAACCTAGCTTATACATTAGAAAACCTAGGTACAGCTAGGAACAGGAAAAGATGGAAACTGTAGTCTTGGTTCATATCTGTTATTAAGGACCCTGGAGACCCGACGTGAATTCCTTGTCAGTGCTGATGAGAAGTGATAAGAAGGAAACAGGATCACTTCAAGTGAAACCGTGCAAGAGATGGGTCGAAGATTGTATTTCGTAGTTGTGAGAAAGGTAGAACCAAAATGTTCACTGGTAAAAAACTCACAGAAGCGATACTCTTGGCTCACTGCTCGGCGATGACCCCTCAATCTACATGAAAAATGAGAAATGGGAGGGATGGAACTGGTTAAACAATGTATGGCATTGTAAGGACCATGTATTATATAACGTCGAAAATCAGGTGCCTTCCCTAAGTTTCGAAACAGTCTTAGCGACTTCGAGTGGAAATCGGTAGAGAAAGGTTTGGAAGCGCGCTTTCAAAAGAACTTTTTCCTTGATGAGTTCACAGTGAGTGTGATCGCCCTCGTCGTCCTCAAAATAAGTGCGGTAGGAAATTGTTGGTTAATAAAACAGCTATTCATTTCAAACGCACCTCTACAGTGAGGCACAAAAAAGTAATTCTGCTGGGCATAAACGGAGAAATTAACGTGAGATAATATTGTGGACTTAGTCAGAATGGCAGTGGTAAACTCAGAAAGGACAGAATGGGCGAAGTTTCACTTGCAGTCCATGTACTACCTTGCTTTTCTATAGATTCTGGTCCTAGAACATTCAAACTATCCAGCGAAATGGTTCAGTGGTTAGAGCACGGATTTACTGGCCGGAAGGTCCGTGGCTCGAACCTTATCTCTGCCTCTCGACGTCCCTTTGAGCAACCCAGCCCTCGTGCTTGCATCTGGTGGTGTGGCAGTTAGGCACCGAAAGGCGCTAAAGGTAAACAAACT